TAAGTAAAGCATTTACAGATAAGATTAATACATATTCAAAACTACACAAACATATAAGAAAGATAGAAAGATTAGTATGAGTAATAGTTATACCAGTAGTAATAACAGTGAGTGGATTAATAAACAAAGAAACAGTTATATTACTAAATGCAGAAGGAATAGAAATACCAAGGGAAATAATGACAAAAGAGAAAGTAATAATAAATATGAAAGATCTTATGAGATATTGTAAAGACTATTCTGGAGAATACAGCAATGTCGAAATACCAGAAGAAGAAGAAGACTCTCAGGAGAGTGAAGGATGGGAAGAAATTCTCACCTGAACAATAGGTTGAAAGTTATTAAACCTTAATTTAATATTTATTATAATTTTTATTCATATAATATGTTTCTTATTTTATAAATTTAACCTAAATGAATATTAGTTATTTGATTTTTATAATTCTAACAAATTTATTTCAAATAACCAAATATTAAATTAGTATTATGGTTGTCTCATTTAAAACAACACACAACTATCAGATTCTTTTGATTCTTGTTTTGGTTTTTCTTTGTACTGGATTTTGTCATTATAGTCTATTACTTTCCATTCAGTATAAGTAACTTCTCCATCAAATGCAGTTCTTTTCTCTCTTTTAATGTGGTAAATTCTCAATTTTACAAAATCATCATTTACTTCTATAACTTCTGTTTGTTCTTTTTCTTGAGGCTCAAATTTTTTATAATTAGGTCGGACTTTTTCATTTCCCTTTTTTTCAAATGTATTTAAATCGTAAGCCCATGTTAGAAAATTTTCAATCTCCTTCTCTGATCTGCTGTTATCACATCCTTCATCTGGATTGGAGTCTACATAATACATTGGAAATTCAATATCATCATTTTCTCCTGTTGTTTCTTCAATAAGACTTCTTAACTCTAAATCAACTTTATTTTTCTTTACTTTTAGCTGTGCTACAAACTCGTTTTTTGATATATGATATGTGCATTTAGTCCATATAATACATATATGTTTCCAGAAATCTTCTACTTGAAGAATATTACAAAGCAATTTAACCTTTCTTTTTAAATTCTCTGATAACACATCTTTTTTGTCAGATGATTCCGCTTCTTTGCTATAATTTAATACAATAACAATAACATCTATTCCATTTTGTTTTTTAATATAATCAAACGTTTGGTTTTGTTGTTTTTCATTCATTTCACTTAAATCATTAAAGCCGGGTGTATCAATAACAAATACATTCCTTCGATTACCTTCTCCATTATATCCAACAGTTTCTTGCGTTTTTGCATCACAGCCACTACTTACAGCAAATTTATTGTCTTTTAGAATAAAATTACCAAGAGAACTTTTACCATCACCAATATCACCAATCAAAAGTAATTTAGTTTCTTTTACTTCTTCAGTACTCATTGATTAATATTTAGTTATCAATTGTTTAAATAGTAATTTACATTAAATAACGATAAACAACCATTAATTTCATGAATGATGTTTATTATTTTTATGTACGATTTTATGTAAAAATAAATTAAAATAGCTCTCAACTGAAGTTATTTTACATGAAATTGTTTTTAAACTGAAAATAACATGAACAAATGATATTTATATAAAATTGTTGGTTTGTTTTATTTTTTTTTGTAAAAAATAGTAAAAAGTATGTAAGTTATTCAATAACGTCCAAAAATAATTTTATCTTTAATCCTATTTGTTTATTCATTTATAAGTGTCACATTTTATTTACAAAACAACAAAATACTATAATTATTTCATAACTTATTTTATAATTATAACCACCATTAACCTAAAAATAAATAATTGTGCGACGAGTTATTCTGACAAATATTACAATAACGTAAAATTCTATTTATATTTTTATATTTTATATTTATATGATTTGCGTTTACGTTTAATGGCTAAACACTTAATATTTACTATTAGAACGAAGTGACAATATAATATTATTGGGGTAATATTTTAATAATATATTTATAAGAATGAAAAATAATAGTTATTTTCATTTATATGAAAA